CCTTCCTTCCTTCCTTCCTTCCTTCCTTCCTTCCTTCCTTCCTTCCTTCCTTCCTTCCTTCCTTCCTTCCTTTTGCCCTAAGAAAAGAAGAAACTTTCAAACTTCTCTTGGCTTACCTTCAGACAAAACAAAATGATTGTTTAGTATTACAAAATTAAGGCATTGTTAAAAGGCACTAAGGACTGATTAGTGAACAGCACAGAGGAAATTATTGTCCACATTTTCTTTGCTTTTCTCTCTCCTTCTCTTCTGATTTAAAAATAGATATATTAATTTTTGTTTTGCAAAAATCTGAAACCAGTTTGCACTAAAAGAATATAATACATTATTAATAATATCATTTATAAAAATGTAAAAAATCAACAAGGGTTAGGATCAAGATACAAACCCAAACGTATACATATCTCTCAAGAAATATCGGCAGGACATCCAAAGACATCAACCAAAATTAAATGCATTCAAAAAACTCTCCTTATCAGACTCTGGATCATCCAGACTCCAGTGTCAGAGAAACGCCAATGTATGTGTGAACTGAAAGCAAGAATCCTGAATAGAAAGCTGAATTCTGAGAGGCTTGTTGTAGTTGTGGTGTTATAGTGAAAAGTGGGGGTAACATCGAAAGTTATACAACGGGGTATCATTCCCAGACTTCTACCTCACCAGCATTTGATGTCGTTTGAGAATAAACCTTTGTTTGTCTGCTTGTTTCACAACTGCCAAAGACATGGAATTGTATTGTGGATTCTTAAGCCCAAGGAGAAGCCTCTGAGGGGAAATGGATTACCTGCCAAGGCTGTAGCCTCTGAACCTCTAACCTGTTTCCACCCTTCATCACCCACCTCTTGGAGAGAGAGAAATGCGCAGCGTTTAAGGCACGTGCCGTGGCCCAGATGATGTTGTAAATGCGGGAGCTGTCTAAAGACAAAGTCCTTTCCCATTCTTCCTGTGGCAAGGTCTCCCATTTCTCCTTCTCTGTGCATCTTATCCAGCCTTTCACAGACAAGACATCCTTCCTATAAGAACAATTAAACGTTTTTGCTACAAACTGTCCAATGGAATTATAAAAGGGTTCAAAATCACCAGGTTTTGTCTTTGTCTTTGTCTGCATAAAGAAGGAAAAAATGCCATGGATGTGTTGGAAAGAGACATCACTATACATCAACTCTAAAGAGAGGTCCCAGAGAGCGGTTGTCACCCAGATTTTCCCTACAATAGGTTTTGTCAAGACTGCGATTACTTTTTGTATAACAAATATTGCTTTTAGGAAAGAACTGGCTTCAGCATAGTAAACAAAGACATTGATTTCCTTCCATTTGGAGAACTGGGCAAAGCGAAGGTTTACACTCCTGTCGGTCACCGAAATGCATTGGGATACAACTGCACAAATGCCGTTCTTTATAAGCATTGGAGTCAAAATCCTCATAAACCTCTCTCCGTTGTCGGTATCTGCAGCAATGAGTCCTATCAACGTCCACCTAAAATGCAGGAGCAGTTTGATGATCCCTGGGTTCTGGATTCCATCTTTGGGGACCACATGGTAGGAAAAAGGAAACTGAGTTTTATCTGCCTGAACCTGCGAAACAAAATTATAACTGATCTGAAAAGAAAAGGGAGATGTTAGTGATCTACTTTGCATCAGAAAGCAAAATATTGAAATGAAGGTGCTGATCCTCAGGGTAGGAGGTGGTCCTGCTTCTTCTAGGAAAGCCTTTTAATGGGAATATTATCTATCTATCTATCTATCTATCTATCTATCTATCTATCTATCTATCTTTCTTCTATATCGATCAGATTTATTTAGCTGCCCATCTCACAAAAAGTGACTCTGGATGGTGTACAATAAAGTAAAACAATAAATATCTAAAAAGCTATCATTATTAAAAATATAAAACAGTCATTATTAAAAATAAAAATATTCCTTCTCTGGTC